CGTCTCATAACCATCAGCCTTGATAAATGCTAACGTTAAGTTCTCCAAGTTAAAGCCAGTGTAGGCAGTGATTGGAACGTGGAAGCAATCAGAGCACAGGAGAAGCCTGGTCCCTGGAATCTCTCCCATATGTATCCTGGTGGATACCAAGTGCCTGGCAGAGGTCATAGGCAACCCCCACCCAGAGCGCTCTCCACTGCCATGTTGCCTAGAACTGGGGACAGCTTAGATTAGCCATATCTCCCCAAAATTTGTATTTTTAATTGAATTGGTTTTAAAAATTCAATCCATTTTAAATATGAGATTTTATTTTTATTTAAAAGAATTACATTGTGGGTATGTCTGTGATTCTTGGGTACCTGCCTGGCTACCAAGAAGACATGTGACTCCATGATGACTCTGCTTTTTAAGGTTATGCCCTGGGCATGATCCGAAACCAGGAGAACAAAGTGGGTACTGGTGTTGCCTTGAATAAAGGGCTCCCCTAATGCAGAAGCCTTACAGCCTTTATAAACTGCAGTTAGGGATGTTTGTCTTCCTTAGGATGGATTTAAACAAGAATCATAAACATGTGAACTTTCTCCTCATTCTCCTTTCATTGCCTCTCCCCACCTGGGAGCAAATGTCTAGTACTTTCCAGTGGCTCTCAGTGCCAGCAGCCTCATAAGGGAAGAGTATTATCTGAGGTCAGGTTCACCAGAAGCAGCACCCGAGATGGATTCTCATGAAAGGGATTTATTGGGGCAAGAGGAGCGAATGGAGCAGAATGAAGGGAAGGAGCCAAACAGGCATGTGGGCTCAGCTGGAGTCTGCTTCACCCAGTCCCATGGGAGCTCTGGAACATTAATTGTACAACAGAGTTGGTCCTGTCTTGAGGCAAAGGGAACATCCTTGGGTATCCACGTCAATCAGAGGCTATGGAATGCTTTTGGGGAAGGTGTCATAACCTCCCAGGCAAAGCAATTCCTTTCAAGCTGTTGTACCTATCTAGTAAGGGGGTTCTGAGTGGAGCACTGCCAGCATCCACACAAGGAGTGGTAGTGTTTGCCAAAACACATGCTCTGATACACCTCTGGGCCTCCTTGGAAATCACAGTAGTAGAAGAGAGGGGTGTAGAATTAAAAACATTTGGTCAGGGCAGTTTATATGGCCAGTATAAACAGCTATGTTGGTGCTGACAGGCGGCAGAAGGGTAATCCATGACATTCCTTCCTGTAACACCATCCCGGAGCACATGAGTCATGAACCGTAGGCTCAGCTCTCTTGTTCCTAGAGATGATGTCTTTGGTTTACTCTTTTGGCCTGTCCTCACCAAGATCCAAGCAGAATTTTGAAATTTTTATTCGACTGAGTAAAGTGGAAGAGAGACCAGGAATAGTTAAATAAATGCTGATATAAATGTTATTTTCTAGCATTTGGGAATTAACAAAAATAAGGTAGCTGAGCAGCTTTTGAATGATCAGAAGTACTGTTGTCTTAGGTCAAAGCTAATTAAACTGAGGTTTTCTTGAGTCCCAGAGTAAATTTTTGAAGACATTTATTTCACACATGCGAAAACTGAAGAAGTCTTTGGGGCAATAAATCTTTTTGTTTTATTTTTATTTTTATTTTTGAGACAGAGTCTTACTCTGTCGCCAGGCTGGAGTACAGTGATGTGATCTCGGCTCACTGCAACCTCCACCTCCCTGGTTCAAGCAATTCTCCTGCCTCAGCCTCCTGAGGACTACTGGTACTACAGGTACTGTAGCTGGGACTACAGGTATGCGCCACCACGCCCAACTAATTTTTGTATTTGTAGTAGAGACAGGATTTCACCATGTTGGCCAGGCTGGTCTCAGTCTCTTGACCTCGTGATCTGCCTGCCTTGGCCTCCCAAAGTGCTGGGATTACAGGCGTGAGCCGCAGCGCCTGACCAATAAATGTTTACTTCAAGAACAGATAGGCCTTTGACTTAAAACTAAAGCTTCTCTCCTGGTTTGAAAGGAATTCCCAGTGAGGTATTGGGCATTACAAGAGAAATTGGTAACAGAGTTAGGTAAGCATGTAATATATATGTATATATAAAATAAATATATATTATATATTATACATATATATTTTATATATTATACATACATATTACATATATATTTGTTTTATCCTGGGACACTCTTTAGAGTAATAATACCAGAATGACAAACATGAACCAGGACCGTCCCCAGGAAACCAAGAGAACTAAGGTCGTATAAGACTTTGGCTTGCTGCCTCTGATGTCAACAGGCCGATTAGCCAGGATTTAGGGTAGTGTCTACTTGGGACAATTGTGGGTGTTGCTTCTGGCAGGAGGAAGATGGGGAAGAAGATGGTAGTGAAAGGCCACCTATGGTGAATCATTAATGCCATGCAGTTCTTGAAACAGCATTTGAGAAATTACTGTCTGGTTTTCCTTATTGAAATTGCCAATGCCTGTTCTCTAGGTTCTAAGAGCAGCCCTCACACTTGCCATCACACAGCCATGTAAATATCTGTGTCTCTGCTGGGAGCTCCCCATCCCTTCTGAACTCTGAGCTCTACAAGGACAGTGACTAACATCTTTCAGACCAGTTCCCTCAGTGCTGAAATGTGTGTGATACGACAGCTCAGCTACTCAGTGCCTGCTCAGTGCCTGTTCTGAATCCTGTGCCATTCGCATGTTACATACATGAGCTTCCATCCCTGAGTGTTGGGGACAAGACAGAGGAAGAAAACCTCAGAGGAAGGGCTGAGGAAAGGTGCTCCTTGACGGTGAGGACAACTTAAACGGAGGTGTGGACATAAGAGCAGGCAGGGTGTGTGTAGAATAGTAGCGTATATGTGCCATGGGGCAGGAGTGGAAGAACAACAACAGAAAAGGAAGGGCCAAAATGGAAGCTGGGATTAAGATTTCAGACTTTATTCTGTTTGCACTGGGGAGAGACGTATTTTAAGAAGCTTCCTCTGGCAGCCAGCCGAATGGACTGAAGGGGGAGGAAAGCTCATAGCAGCAGCTACCAAACATCATTACCCGGCAAAATCACTAACTTTATCGCTCACTATGTACTGAAAATGCTCATCCCAGACCCTGCAGTCTCTGTGTCTACTCAGAAAAGACTCATGCAATGCAATTAGAGTGTTGCCCAGGAATCTGCATTTTTTAAAAAATTTTATTTTATTTTTTATTTTTTATTTATTTTTTATTACTATACTTTAAGTTCTAGGGTACATGTGCATAACGTGCAGGTTTGTTACATATGTATACTTGTGCCATGTTGGCGTGCTGCACCCATCAACTCGTCAGCACCCATCAACTCGTCATTTACATCAGGTATAACTCCCAATGCAATCCCTCTCCCCTCCCCAAGAGGCTCCCAAGGTGATACTAATGCAGGTGATCCCGGATCTCTGTGCAAATAACACTTGCTAAAAGCACAGAGAGCTATTAGAAAACTAATCATCATTGAGGTCAGTTATATCCGAGACTGGATGCTAAAAAGATATATTAGAGTTTAGTTTTATATTTGTATATCTCTTATCTTTTGTTTAATTGTATTTGGGCTTTTGGGGGTTTTGTTTCATTGCTATTTTCTAAGTAAGGGTGTACTGATGTTTAACAAACAAACAAAAATATACAAGTTATTAAGTTCCCAGCTCAATGAACTTTCACAAAAGGATCAAACCTGTGTAACCTGCACTCAGAACTTCCTTCCTTCCACTTATTCCACAATTACTGTCTTGATTTCTAGCCCCATAGATTATTTACCTTTTATCACCTTTATTTGTGGTGCTTTTGATAATGTTCATAATGTATTAGAATAAAAGATACATATAATTGGATAGTTTAAGTAGATATATTATGGTAAATGCTCATATGTTTTTACCAGTTGGACACACAATAAAAATATTTTTCATCCACCTGTCCAAATGCCTTGAAATGTTAGTCTGAGCTGAGATGGGAGTCTTGGAAATTGGAGGACCTCTGTACCTTCTCCTCCAAAATCTGTAAACATGCTGTTTCCGCTTGGAAGTCTTGATTTGCTTTCAGTGACTCTGAGAAGTCCTGTGGCTTCTGAAGAGCCTCTTGGCTTTCCTTTCACCTTGGTTGGAAGCCATGTGCCCAGGTGGAAAGACAGCAGTTCCCTACAGCCTTTCTCTTCTGGTTCTCTCAAGCCACTGTGTGCAGAGTCCGGCCTAAGCTGGCTACGCTTGGAAACCTCTCCTCACCTTGTACCCTCCCCACACCCTGGGAAGACTTGCCTGTGGACAGCCCAGCCCTCACTGCTTCAGGTTTTAGGAGGAAACCCTCTCTTTTCTAGGTGCGATTTTCTTAGAGTTTGTCTTTCCTAAACCAGCAAGATCTGAAAAGGCAGGATTAGGGTGTGGGCTTAGGAGAGAGGGGCCAGGAAGATGACAGGGTTGTGTTTTCATCCAAACTTTAGGAGGTCTCCAGCTCACCCATGGTCCAGCCCCCCTCACCAGGACCACCCTAGGGTTTGAACCCAAAGCATTAGTTAGGAGTAAAGAGTGGTCTTGTCCTTTTTTTTTTTTTTTTTTTTTTTGAGATGGAGTCTCGCTCTGTCGCCCAGGCTGGAGTGCAGTGGTGCAATCTCCACTCACTGCAAGCTCTGCCCCCCCGGGTTCACGCCATTCTCCTGCCTCAGCCTCCCGTGTTGCTGGGACTACAGGCGCCCGCCACCACGCCAGGCTAATTTTTTGTATTTTTAGTAGAGGCGGGGTTTCTACTGACTTCATGGTCCACCCGTCTCGGCCTGCCAAAGTGCTGGAATTACAGGCGTGAGCCACCGCGCCCGGCCGGTCTTCCCAGGGAACCCGTGGGAAAGGTGGGCAGCTAGAAGGGGCCTGGAGACGGCCTGGTCAGGGCACCTCGTCCTACCAGTGCCTACCGTCTGAGCACTGCTCCGAAGGACTCGATTGCCCCGTGGAGCCTGCTCCTGCACACCTGCCTTTCATGCAGCTGACCCATCTGTTGGTACTTTTTCTTTCAGGAGGAGATGGGCATCTCCTGTGAGCTGCTGGAATCGGACTTCCTCAAATGCAGCGTGGGATTTCCTTTCATGAGGTCAAAGTCAAAGGTAAGGGACACAGATGGGACCGTTCCCCGGCAGCAGGCCCCCAGCCCTTCCCACCAGCCACTGATTCCGCCACTGCCTCCCTGAGGTGAGGAGTTCTCCTACCCCCTGCCTCCCATAGCAGCTGGGGCGGCCGCTGAAGCCCTGCCACACTCCTGTCGCTGGCAGTGTACACCGGGGTATACTCCAGAGGGGCTGCGCCACGTGGTCTTTCTCTTTGATGCACATGATGTACCCCAAATGTGAAAGTGAAGGACACACCATGGCCTCTGCACTGTGGCAAGTGCCGTTTAGTTGGGCTTCCGAAAATAATTTTTTTTGTGGGACTTTCTGTGCCTCTTTGAGTCCCCTAGGCAACGCAGGAGAAGATGTGGTCTGTCACGTCTAGTCCTGACTCTGTCACTCCCTTGGGTGCTCACAGTTTTCTGAAGAGACCTCTCAAAATTCTCAAAACACAAATACCTGTATCCCACTTCATTTTTAAAAAGAGTAAAGAAATTAAGTCACTTTGGTATTGGTGTGGAGACAGATTTTCTAAGTTCAAATGGTATACTACCGAATCTTCAGACATTGTTGGGACATTCTAGTATGTGCCATCATTGTAAGGAGATACAAACATAGGTAAAAAGATTTGGTGGTTGGGGGCAAAATTAGAATCTAAAAGACCAAGTCTCCCTTTGGAAATGGAAGCTGTTTTCCCTGCCATGATTTGAAGGAAATCTCATATACCTTTGTCTACCTTTTTTCCCTTAAAAACTTGAAAGCTGGCCGGGCGTGGTGACTCATGTCTGTAATCCCAGCACTTTGGGAGGCTAAGGCAAGTGGATCACGAGCTCAGGAGATCAAGACCATCCTGGCTAACATAGTGAAACTCTATCTCTACTAAAAATACAAAAAAATTGCCGGGCATGGTGGCACGTGCCTGTAGTCCTAGCTACTCAGGAGGCTGAGGCAGGAGAATCACTTGAACCTGGGAGGCAGAGGTTGCAGTGAGCCAAGATCGTGCCACTGCACTCCAGCCTGGGCGACAGAGCGAGACTCTGTTGTCGCCAAAAAAAAAGCGAAAGCTTCATCCTTTTGTCCTGCCTGGGTCGTACAATCAGATCATTTTAATCTCTAAGACTCTTTGGTCCCAGTATCTAGTAGCTGTTTTGTAAACCAATGGTGAGAATGTTATGGTGAGGGAGAAGACTTGGTCATTTCTTAGCAAATCACTTGAACCCATAAAAGCCCCATTGATTGCACCTCGATTTTGGACTTTGCAGCCTTCAGAACTGTGAGAAATTAATGCTTAAACCACCCAGACTAGGGTAATTTGTGATGGAATCCCAAACTGACTAGGGCAAAAAGGTAGGGTCAATGTTGTTCAGTGCTGTGTTCATGTATCCCCCAAGATAATCTCATGAACCACCTAAAATAATCTTAGTGTACCACTCCCAGTGTGAACATCCTGTGATTTGGGAAACAGTGGCCCAAACAAATGGTGTTCACCATATACATGTCAGGCACATGTGAGAATGTGGGAGGAACCCCTGGGTGGGAGTTATAGGACCAGGTTCTACCACAAACTGTGTGATCTTGGCAAAACCACAGTGACTCTTACGCCCATGACTCCTCGGATTTTTTTCTGCCTCTCTTCCTCATTCTGTCCACATTCACCCCAGGAGGAGGGAAGCCTCAATAAGTGGGTGCCCTTGGAAAATGGATTACATGTGGCTGGCAGAGTACAGACCAAGTCCCATTAGACTCCAGGTAGGGTGAGGGTGGAGATAAAGAAGGACGACCCCAATCCATGGACACTATTGCCTCTAATAATGTATGTGGCACCTCCGCACACAAATTTAAATAAAATCTTTTGAGTAACAGATAATAGGCTTAATTGAAAAACTTGTAACAGTTTCCATTTCATTTTAAACTCCAGCCTGTATCACATATCAGACCTAAGATGTGTGTTTCTCTCTCTAGTGGAGCGTTAAATTTTGTCAAATTTTTGTTTGCTTGTTTGTTTTTGAAAGGGAGTCTCTCTCTGTTGCCCAGGCTGGAGTGCAGTGTGGTGCAATCTTGGCTCACTGCAGCCTCGGCCTCCCAGGTTCAAGTGATTCTCCTGCCTCAGCTTCCCTAGTAGCTGAGATTACAGGTGCCCACCACCATGCCCAGCTATTTTTTTGTTGTTGTTGTATTTTTAGTAGAGACGGAGTTTCACCATGTTGGCCAGGCTGGTCTTGAACTCCTGACCTTAAGTGATCCACCTGCCTCGGCCTCCCAAAGTGCTGGGATTACAGGCATGAGCCACTGCGCCCAGCCAACATTTGTTAAAACCCTCAAAATCGTGATAGAGCCCACAGAAGTGTGAACATTGGAATGTTGGTTGTTTTCCCAGCTGGTAATGCCACCACTTTCCTACCACATACAGATGCTGGGACCTGTACCAAGACTGACTAAACCTGGGTATTGGGGGCATGGTAGCAGAGGGTGATTCCCTGGAGAAAGCGCAACAAGTCACCCAGCAGAGATGGGGCTCCCCGTGTCCGCAGCCCAGCGTGCATTCCCATGTCCTTCCAACCCTGAGGGTCCTCAGGCTCCAGGCCACCTGCTAAGCCTCATGACTATTGGCTTACCTTGGATGGCCATATGTTTCTATCTCTCAGAGCCTGCCCAGTTTCTGACGTTCTGTTCTTCCAGGCCTCCATCCCTGATTTTAGCTTCTCACCCAATTCTTTTGCCTCTCATCTCACTTTGCTCTTTAGTGTGTTTAACTGAATTCAGGTCTCCTCCCGGTGCTAACTCTACACCAGGCAAGACCTTGCCTCCCCCTTCCTTCTTGTCCTCTTCCTGCCCTGTCTCTGTGCCTGCCCCCCACCCCACTGTAAGCTGACAAGTCTCACAGTAACAGAAAGTTCTGTCTAGAAAGAGATGTCCATGTTCACTGTAGATGATGGTCCATTGTAATGGACCAATGTCCGTTGCTTTCAGGAAGCATTCAGTAGAATCCAGTGTTGCAAATATTAGACCACTGCCTAGAATTCACCATAATGTAACCCAAAGGTTTAGACATTATGTAAGTTATAGGCTTTCAGAGTTTGATGAAATTTAAGAACCATTTTGTCCAACCTCCTCTTTTTATTGAAATGCAAAGACAGTATTTTAGCCAAGATCACACAGTTTGTGGTAGAACCTGGTCTTATAACCCCTACCCAAGGGTTCCTCCCACATTCTCACACATGCCTGACATGTATATGATGAACACCATTTACTTAGGGCAGTGCCCCCCAAATCATAGGATGTTCACCACTAAGTATTACACTCGATAATTTTAGATGGTTCATGAGGTTATTGTGGTCGATACGTGGACACAGCACTGAACAACATTGACCCTAACAGTGACCCTTTCTGCCTTAGTCAGTTTAGTCATCTATAACAAGTTACCCTGGGCTGGGTGGTTTAAACAACAGACATGTATTTCTCATAGTTCTTAAGGTTGAGAAGTTCAAGGTCAAGGTCCCAGCAGATTCAGTTCCTGGCCAGAGCTCTCTTCCTGATTTATAAATAACGCCTTCTCTATGTGTGCCCATCTGGCTTTTCCTTGGTGTGTGTGCATGGGCAGAGAGAGAGAGATCTTTGTGTTCTCTTCTGAGTGCACTAATTCCATCATGAAGGCCTCACCCTCATGACCTCATCTAAACCTGATTACCTTCCAACGACCCCACCTCCACATACCATCACATAGAGGGTTAGGCCTTCCACGTATTAATTTGAGGAGTGGCAGGTGGGGGAGACACAAACATTCAGCTCATAAAACTTTTCAACAGTCTTCTAATCCTAGCCACACGGATCAGGAGAACATTTCCAATCCTGCTAGCATATCTTTAACACTTCTCTATCACCAGCGAATCTCCCTTTTCAGCAAAGATGGGGTAGACCTTAGGCTCAAAGGCTTCCACAGGCAACAGAATTCAACATTGCTCTGTTTTCATTGTATTCATTTTTACAACTACCTTCTCTTTTTGGCAAGTGATCCTGGATTCCCGTCTATGATAGTGATATAAATTGTTCTTTTAAAATAATCTTTAAACTGAAAGAGTAAGACAATAATAATATGAAGCAAATATCCCAGGTGATGTAATTTGCAGATGTGGCAGAAATTGAAAAGATGGGATGTGAGTGAAACTTAGTAAGTCCCGGTTTAAGAGTGTAAATGCATCACTTCCTAAAGAGAGCCTCGGTGGCTGAACAGGAGCAGCAGGTCTCTGGCCAGAGTATGTATCAGGCTTGGTTTTACTGTTAAGACTGTGCCTTTGGCCTGATAGTCAGAAAGCTATGCATAAAACATAAAGCTTATCATGCAAATGAGCTTCCAGAGGTCATAAACTGCAGAAAATGGAAGAGAACAGTTTAAGTTTGGAATGCCTGCTGATGCCAGATACCACTTCCTTTTTCCCTAGTATGAATTCAGCGTGATCTTTGATACAAGCCACCTGTCTGGGGAAGAGGAAGTTCTCAGCTTCATTGTTACTGCTCAGAGGTAAGGGGGGTTTAAACACTTTTTTCAAAGATAAGAGATTTATGGGACCAGGAAAGGACGTGTCCTGGTTAAGCTTTGATGAATCCCAGGATGCTGAGGAGGAAGAAATGGTTACTCGGTGATAAAGCCTCGAGCCACTAAGTGGAATTGGATCTCTTGGGGATGGTGGTTGCCTAGTGCTGCTTGCATAGCCACCACTGCAGACTGAGCTGAGAGGAACTGGGCATCAGCCACTCCGAGGTGATGATTCTACAGCTGAGGAGAGACAGGCCCAGGGGGGTGAGGCTTTAGTCCAAGGTCAGTTCCCACTCGGCTGTGTATTTCGCAGATCAGACAGATGTCCTCTGCAAATTGTCAGACTGGGCCCGCTGCTGCTTTTGAACATGGCGCTGTATCCCTTGATGGAGTGGGCAGGGCACCTGCAGCCTGAGGGCCTGGCCAGGCCTGTTGACAGAGGTCCCAAGAGATGCTACTCAAGAGCGGGCTTAACCTGGAAGCCAAGTGGACGGATAGGAAAGGGGATCGTGGGGTGGCAGCTTCTCCCCTCAGGAGCATGTGCCTGCCCCTCTCCAGGATAGCCACAGGTGCCTGTGGGGGCCTCTGGGGAGTTACCAGATGCCTTCTCCAGGGCAGATCCACCATGCCTTGAAGCGGCGTCTAGGTAGCACTTGGCTGGCGGCTCCAGTGGAGGGAGGGGCGTTCAGGTGGGTGAACAGAGAGGCACAAGCTTTGATTGGGGTGATGATTGGACACCCAAGGTAACCTTTTCATTTTCACTTGGAAATGATCTTAAACTTAACAGAAGTGTTACAAGAATAGTGCAAGGAATTCCTATATACCCTTTACTAAGATTCACCCAGTGTTAACATTTTGCCTCATCTGTTTTATCATCCTCTTTCTGTATAATTTTTTTTCTTAGCCATGTGAAAGTTGCAGAAATCATGCCTCTTGATTCATAAATACTTTAGTGTGCATTCCCAAGAATGAGGCTGTTCTCTTAAGAAACTAATATAGTTATCACATTCAGGAAATTGAATATTGACACTATGCTATTAGCTAATCTGCAGTTTATGTTCTGATTATGCCAATTATCCCAATAATGTCTTTTTAGCCCCTTCTTTTTACTGGTCCACAAGACTTAGTTATTTTCTATTCACACTACTTTCAAGATCACATAATTTACATTCACGTAAAACATGACTATGAGCTAATAGAAACTTATGCAAAGCATAGAGAGGGTAGATTTCATTCCCATTGCATAAAATCCAGAAGGGCTTCAGTCAGGAGGTAGCATTTAAACAGAGGAGTCTGTTTTCAGGCTGAAGCAACATGAACACGGCAGTGAGGCTGTCCATGGGGCAAGAAGCCCTGTTACACCTGTGTAGGTGGTGGGCACGGGGTATACTGGGGGTTTGTGCACCTTCTCAGAAGGATGGGGAACACACAAGCACAGTGGGAGGCAGGGCTGAAAGAGGAACCTGGGCTAGACCATGGGGGACAAAGGTCACCTAGAAAATCTGAACTATATCCTGATGGCACTGAGGAGCCACTGAAAGTTTTTGAAAAGGGGAGTGGCACAGTGCAACACCTTGACCCCAGAGCATGAGGCTGATGAATTTGATGAGGGACAGCAGATGCCCATTCAAACCTGAAAATTCTCATTCTCTTGCCATTTCTTGGATCCACAGAACACTCGCCTTTGCTGGGCAGACCCATCAGCGTACTCTCTTGGTCCTTCCACACCTGAGGCAGCCTGTGTACCTGGAAAGGAATGTGACATGGAAGAGATTTCCCTTGTCAAAAAAGAAGACACTTCCTGCCTCCACCTCATTCAGGGCTAATCATAACAGTCAGAGAGGGCAGGGAGCCAATATTGCAATCGTGAAAGGTTCATTTGTTAGAATAACATGTCCACACAGCAGCAATGCTCCAGTTTTGGATGCATATTAGAATCGCCTGGGGAGCTTTCAAAAATATCGATGCCTGATCTACCCCCAGAGACCCTGACCCTTCCTCTGCCTGGGGTGAGACCTGGGCAATGGAGTGTTCAAAAGAGCTCACCAAATGATTCTAATGAGCAGCCAAGGCTAAGAACCACTGTTTATAATCCCTTACTCTGTGCCGGGCACATTTTCACTCAGCAGATATTTATTGTGTACCTTCTATTTACCAGGTTCAGTGCTAAATGCTGGGCACAGGAGAAAATGACAGTAACCTACTCAATTCAAGAACAACCCCATGTAAATTAACAGTGCTACATAGCTTCAGGAAGCCCTAGGATCTGTAACTTCGATAATATAAAAATTTCTAATTTCTTAAATCACAAATGTTAAGATGACGATATTATCTTTTAAACACACACCAGAATATTTCAGACACTCATTTCTTTTCAGGCATTAGTGAAGATATGGTCTGACTGCCCCAGAGGGCACCCACACACAGCACTTGACTCCCTGCTATGATGGAAAGACCCTTAAAGCCCCTTATCTTGAAAACTACAGTTAAAATCTCAGTCGTTCCTTTCTTCCGTCACCACCCTTTGAAGGGCTCTTTGCCTGCTTGTAGGTTTAGGGGGACATACCGTTGAGACTGAGCAGTTTCTCGAGACCTATCCTCTCAGCAGCCACCAGCCTGGCTTTTGCAGACCACTGGAAAGTATCCCAGCTCATGAGCTTTTGGAATGACGGGAAGCCTTTTGATGTTTGGCGTCTTTATCTCAACTTTTCAACTTAGCTCTTTCTGGAGCAGTCACACGATGACAGATGAGACGGTTGGGCCTAAGCCGGCCAAACAAAGGGCAGGGCAAGACCTGGCAGGATGCTGGGGTGGGGGCGGGAGCAGGCCAGGATGGTGTCAACCCATCCACAAGGGAGTTGCCTTTGGCCTGCCCACAGCAGTGATCCCAAGGCTTTTGTCACCCCTTGGGAAAGGAAGGACAAGGAAGTCAGGCTGTGTGGGCACCTGATCCTGCTGCTTTTGCAAACTGTGGCTGCCCATGAGGGACTGATGTCACCCCATGTAGGAAGACAGATGAGGAGCCAGGGCAGAGACTGGCCCTGTGGGGTCAGCGTCACACAGCACCATTGTTTCAGAACAATAGGAGGGAGAAGGAGAGGGGATGTGAGAGCTATTTAAGTGCTGTTGCCATTCAGCACTTGCTGGGTGAGAGAGGAAGACAGTGGGGCAGGGCTTGGAGGGGGCAGAGAGAGGGCACAGAGCAGATAGGAACTCAGCAGATGTTCAGGGAACGGCGTGGTGGGGAACAGTCAGGATGAGCTGAGCCCAGCCTCAGCAGGTCTGGGGGACTCTTTTGTTCTGCCCATAACAGGGTGAACTTGGGAACCAACTGTGAATGTAGGTTCAAGAGCATGTACCCAAGAGCCACGCATTTTCCCAAGGAATAATGATCACAATTCCTATTAGAAATTTAGTAAAGTAATAAAGGGAAACTAGGTCTTCTCTCTCCTCCTCCTGTTCCTTCTCATCCCTCCTTCTTTTGCTGCTCCTCCTTCTTGCCCCCAAATCTGGCATCAGGCGTGGGAGTCACAGCTGAGAGAGCCCGGGTTTCAAGTCTGACTGGGCTGATTGGAATCTCAGCTCTGATTTGCAGGGGGCCTTGGACAGTTACCCGACCTATCTGAGCTGCTCCTCACCTGTCAAAGGTGGGTGCTCCATCTCCCTCTGGGGATGCTCTGAGGTCTCAGTGGGGCCATACTGAGAAATGCCTGGCATAGTGCCTGGCACATAGTAGCCACTTAACAGCATCAGTTCCCTCATGTTCACCTTTCCAGAATGATCTCACAAGAATCTCCCTTCTGTGCTTTCTCACCCAGAGTGGGAGGCTTTATGTGGATGCATATTAGAATCACCTGGGGAGCTTTAAAAACTATCAATGCCTGATCTACCCCCAAAGACCTGCTATAGCTAAGGTCTGTGGCGAGAGCTTCCATGATGTTTACAGTGGTCGGTTTGGTCAGGGCCTCTTTCCTGGGCTTGGCTGTCCATGGATGATGGGTGGTCCCTTAGGTGAGACATAGCTGCTGAAGTCTAGCAACCCCTTCCTGGCTGCAGTGGACCAACTTCATTGGTCCATTGTTCATGGAACAGGCACTTATAGAAGTAGCACACACAGTGGGTGCCATGCCTATAACCCCTCAACCCTCACCCTTTCCAAACTATCCGCAAACCGGGCAGATTCCGGCTCCCAGCACCAGCCACCCTTGCTGAGGCTTTCTCTGGCCAGAGCCCACTCACTTGCCTGACAGGCAGGTGCCAGGGGGTTCATTCCATCCCACCCCCACCCCCAGCACAGCAGCAGCTCCTCTCAGGAGTCAGTGGATAAAGGCCTGGCTCCCATGCCCTCAGCTAGGAAGACTGACTCTGCCTCACAGAGTCCCCAGGAGACTGGGCCCTGGCTCTGACAGCACGACCCTCCTGCATGGCTTGCCTTTATTGTCTTCTTTCCTTCACTGTCGCCCTTCTCCACTCTCCACTCCTACTGGCGTTTCCTAGGGCCACCTCCCAAATAAACTACTTACAATCACGTCTTTGTGTGGAACGTAGCCAAGACAATAGAATGCCCTTGATAGATATGTACAGGGACCAGAAACAGACTGAGGACAATGAGGTGCCACCTGCCCCTGGCGAATGTAGAGATTCAGCTGTAAAGTGGAACAGAGAAAGCCCACTGCCAGATAGTTAGTGTTGGCCAGCGTTCATTCATTCTCCTCTCCCTGCACAGTGGCAACATGGAGCGCTCTGAATCCCTGCATGACAACACCCTCGTGCTAATGGTGCCGCTGATGCACGAGGTGGACACGTCCATCACTGGGTGAGTAGCCTGGTCCTGGGTTGCCACAACACAGGGGTGCCCTCCAGTGGAACACTGTGCTTCTCATATTTGCATGTGTAGACAGCCAGGAGCCAGGGGCTGTGCCACCTCCACTTCCTCCCAGCCTTGAAAAGCAGGATGAAGCTTTAACTGCAGTAACTCATACCCTCCTCCCTCCTTATTTTCTCCTCTGTCCCACTTACCCACCCACCTGTTAGATAACCTGAGAAGTCTGGTGACGAGTTTAAGCCCCATAATTTCTTTGAACATTCCATATACCTTTATATGCATATATTCCCATCTACCCCTAGTCCCTCCAGAATGCCGTATGGTAACAGGCAGCATGGATCCTGGGATGAAAATCTCAGCTGGAAGCTGCTGGGCCAGAGGCTACCACCAGATGTGTCTCCAGTCCTGGCTCACAGGAGGACCGCTTTCTGATTAGCTCCACAGTCAGCGCTGGCTTTGCTTGTTTCTGTTAACTCCCTCTGCAGAGCCAGAGGTGGCTCTTCAGGATGTCTATAATGGTCTGGAATGGGCAGGGAACCATCCCAACGGCCACACCATCTGTCTGGGTGAAGTCCACGGCCATTCAGTGCCGCTGGCATTGTTGGAAAGCAGGACCCTGGGCTGCAGTCTGTGGAGACCTGAAACAACCCAGGTCAGTTTTCAGCCAAAGCCCTGGCCTGGAAAAATGAGAACTCAGTTTCTTTCCAGCTTCAGAAAACAGAACGCATACCTCTTTGATAGTGGAAAAAAGATTTACACAATTAGTTTAGATCAGATGAGGACCCACTGAACCCTTGACCCAAATGCAAGCTGAACTTTCTGGAGGTTCACAGTTTCTCATTTTTCGGTTTTCAAGTGCTTGTGGGTCGCAGTCTTGACTAGCAGTGGAAATGTTGATCCCTTGCAGGGAGAGCCATCCCTGCACTAGCCCACACTGCTGGGAGCCAGTGGAATGAGTCTCCAAGCATTCCTGCTCCTGAGCTCTTGGCATTTTTGGTCATGTTTTTTAAACATGAGGCACTGGTGGAATATATTTGCAAATTAGCATATTTTTGCCTCTGTTCACAGCTCTATTTTTAACTGTATCATTTATTTACTTGTCTCATCAAAGGCACAGCAAGAATATACCCAGAACCAAGCCCTATCCTTGGGGACAAAGAGAAAACATTCTCCCCACCACCCCCAGACACTTGATCATGTAATCAGGCCTTAGAGGATCTTGCTGGGAGATGTTAACAGCTCCTGATGAAGCCATCCGTTAAACAAATGAGTCAACCTCTGATCTCTCCAGGAATCTAAAACAGTTCTTGTCATTTGGTAATGCTGAGAACTCACTACCTTACTAAAATAATGCACTAAACGTTGAAAATGGATGAGTTGTTGTCTATTCAGACTTAGTCTCAAAAATCTTCCGTTGTTGTGTTTAGGTAAGTGAGTGGCCTCCAGCATCTAGAACTCAATATTTGTCTGGGAGTGTCAGTCTGAGCTTTGTTTCTTCTCAGGGATGTGTTCATATAAGTAACATTGAAAGCATTGCTGCAAATTGAGCTTGAATTCTTCTCACCTCTTTTGTAGCCTCTGAAATCCAAGGGAAAATGCTGTAAATGAATGGACTCAGCTTTCAAATGCCTAACTTCTAGTCATCTTAGCAGGCTGACAAATTTAAGTTTTTAAAGTGAATTTGTCATAGAGTGGGGTTTAGGATGCCAAATATATAATTCATTTACATTTATTTTTTAAAAGCTTATGATCATCTTCTTCAACCTATAAAACATTTTTTGAATGACAAAACAGAAAATGTATACTTTTGTAATCCAGTTTTTAAAAAATCAAAGCCATGATAATCTTGTCATTTCAGAAAGGTAATCCCAGTGCATATTTCTCCATGCAGTTTATTGACATAACCTAAGATGAGAAGACACTACTATTCATGCCTTATCAGAAAGCATAGCCTGGCTATGTCTGTTCATGGGAGAGAGAAGTAACAGCCCCAGCAGGGAAGCACTGGGTACAAGACACTGGATTAAATGGAGACAAATGTTTGCTTCCCAGAATGGCAGTGATCACGGGTGCTTGACTGTGGGTGGGGATGACAGATTTCATGCTTTCCTCTTTCAGAATCATGTCTCCAACCTCCTTTGTGTATGGTGAGTCCGTGGATGCAGCCAACTTCATTCAGCTGGATGACCTGGAGTGTCACTTTCAGCCCATCAATATCACTCTTCAGGTACCCACTCCTGGAGACCTCCTCTGTCCCTGGGGCTAACAGAAGGGCACGTGGGATGTCTCTCCTACAGAGGGCTAGGCTCTTGTCAGGAGAAACCTTTCTGTGGTTGGCTCTTGTGGTGTATGTGTGATCTGTAACCACACATAGAATGAATCCCTTCCATGCCTGGTACTCTACTGTGCAGGCCCCTCTGCTTTTCAGGACTTGGAAGGAAAGGTCCACATTATGAACGCCAGTTTTCCCCAAGAAGTCCTTTGCGTGGTGGAGGCCTCAGCCAATGTCCTAGCCCAGATGGCCCCATGAGGACCCCTTTCTGTTCTCCATCATTCCCCACCTTCTGGGCAGGGCTGCCTCAGAGGATTTGGATTTGCTTTGTCCCTTCCTCCTGAGATTTTCTTGCCAACTCGTCCAGGAGCCTCCTCCTCCCACAGGGGAACAGACTTTTGGAAGGGCAGTTTTGCAAGAGCAGAGCAGTGTGAGCCCCTGTGAGCCCCCTCAGGAGGCACGCTGCTCCCTCACTGAGCCGTGGCTGGCTCACCCGGGCACACAGGCGTTGTTTCCAGCAGGTCCACTTGGTGTAGACTGTGTACATCGTGAAGGACACTGTTTCTTCTTTTAGTTGGGGGTCAGCAAACTTTTTCTGAAAAGAGCCATGGGGTAATTTAGGCTTTGTGGGCCATTCAGCCTCTGCAGCATCTATTCAACCATACTTCTGTAGTGCAAAGGCAGCCATAGATACCACAAAAACAAAACTTTAGTTCCTTATAGACAATGAAATTTGCATTTCATATAATGTTCACGTCATGAAATGTAGGCCCAAACAAGAAGGGATGTGCTGAAGGTCCCAGAGCTGGGAGAAGCTGGGCTGGGGCCAAGACCTGGCCGCACTGGCTGGGCCCTATGTGGGTGAAGTGAAGGAGATGGGCCCAGCTCGCCCATAGGACACTGCAGTCCATATCTCCTCACTCTCTGGTGCTACCTCCCAGAACTCTTCTCTGCCTCTTGCATCCTTCCCCGCCTCTTGCATCCTTCCCCGCCTCTTGCATCCTTCCCCATGGAGAGATGGTTTCCCACTCTGGCATTCACTGCTGTGGCTAAATAACAATTATTTTCTTTCCTTGTGGCCTCTCCTAGGTGGACTTAGGGGATGACAAATAATGACAGGGTGAGGGTCTAGAGAATGTGACAGTAAAACATTTGTGGGCTCTGACAAACAATGGTCTTCCTCTCTCCAGAGTATTCTCCCAGAAACAGACCCCAAAACCATGATGCATAACACATGTCCCCAACTCACAGAGGATGTGCCTTCTGACCAGCTAAGCCTCCGCTGTCACACCCCACTCTTGATTTACAGGGGAGAAAGGGAAGGATGGGGTTAGAGCTTGCTTTTGAGACAGTAGAGTGATTGCTGTGAACAGGACCTCTGCATTTCTGAATTGCTTCTCAGTGATTTTATTTTTCTCCTTTGCTTTTCATAATTGGGTAGGAAATAGATAAAGACCAGATGGGTTTATTTCATTTTAGTTGTTTATACTCTTTCCTACTCTTACAGTTTTGGGGCTATCTTGCAATTAAAGATGTATTTAGAAGGGTTCAAGTAATACAGACCATGTAATGAAGAGGGTATGAGTGTTGAAAGAAGGAAAAGAAGAACAGGGGTTGCACAGAAGATACCAAATGTTCTTATCACCCTCTGGGGAAAAAAAGAAAGAAAGAAATCTGAGGGTATGCAGTTTATCCTTCCAGTTGTTTCTCTGAAGGTGATTTTTACAGGGAGCTTAAAGTTTGGTATTCAGGCAAATAGTTTTCTTCACATCTGACCTGAAATAGGACTCAGGCTAGAGAATCCAGCCCTGGGGAATGAGTGATTGGCATGTCCCTTAGATAAACTCCTCCATGATCCATTGCCTGAGGAAGTGCACAGCATTCAATCCAGGGTTGAGAGACTTGGGTCTTGAAAGATTAATAGTGGGTGCCTTTGATTAGAAGGAGATCCTTCTGTGTTAGCAAAGCCCACATTTTCCTTGAGAATTGTCTGACTACTTATTTATTGGTATAATGGTTGTTATTGTGGTTGTCCTGCAGGAAGGTCACTAACCAGGGTGGCAGTGACCAGAAGGTGAAAATACTGTGGGAGGCGGCCAGGAATATGGAGAAAATGCTTCTATATTTCCTTATTCCAGTAATATTGTTCCTGAAGGAGAACATAAGACTTTCCATATGAACAGATTTTTCTGTGCTTTTAAAAATTGGTTATTCAACAAGGTACATAATTGTTTAAAGGCTCCACTGCCATTGCACACAGGAAAAAGGCAGAGATACTAGTCTTGGGCCTGCTTTCTACATTTCATCACAGTTTTTAAACAGAGACATATTAATTCGTCGACAATTGAGAGGCTTTTTTTGGCATCAAAATTTAAAGCATTTCCCCAAACAATGGCCAAAAATAATGCAGATATTGCACATGAACATTTTCAGAGAATCCAATATAAAGACATTTGTTAAAAATAAAGATGGTGATACAAGCTCTCCTGTCCTCCTGGCTCTGATGAGTGAAATAGTGTAAATCAGCATCTTTTTCTTCATTGCTTACCCGCATTCATGCTTGAATTGGGATTTCCCAGACATGCCAGTAGGTTTCTTTTTAATTCTGTGCACTCATGTTTCATTTCAAATTAGTTATTTCAGCTATGGTCAGATATTCCTTCCTCTTCTATGTCTTCAGGTTGTTTTGGTGAATATTGTTCATTTTTGAATCAGGAGTTGGCAACAACCACTCATCTGCTCTATCAGTTTTTATCTATTTATTCTTTGAAGCAGAACCAACTATTGCAGAAAACCAAAGACACAGTTTTCTAGGGAAGAGCTGCCTGGAGCTAGATCTTCATACATCCTGTCATGTGTGAAGACCTGGTAAGATTTCTGGCTTTTTGTTGGCTCTGCCCTTCTGACCTCAACTTCAGAGTTGCAGATTCCCTGGATTCTCTCTCTAGTCCCCAGGCCACCAAGCAGCATGTCATTCCTTCCTCTCTCCTACTCATCCTTTTTAAACATTTAGTTTTAAATTGACAAATAAAACTTATATCTTTTACTCATCTTTTTAAAAATAACATCTTTATTGAGATATGATTACATACCTTAAAGTTCACCCATTTAAAACATACAATTCAATAATTTTAATATGTTTACACAATTGTGAAACCATCATCATCATCTAGTTGTAGAATAGTTTTTAAATTTTTTCATTTTAATTTTTGTGGGTATATGGTAGGTGTATATATTTATGGGGTACATGAGATGTTTTGATACAGGCATGCAGTGCATAATCATCATGTAAAATGGGGGTATCCATCCCCTCAAGAAATCCTTTGTGTTTCAAACAATCCAATTATACTCTCTTAGTTACTTTAAAATGTACTATTAAATTATTATTGACTATAGTCACCGTATTGTGCTATCAAATATCAGGTCTTATTCTTTCAATTTTTTTAATCCATTAACCATCCCCACCTCCCCCCGCCACAGCCATCCCCCCATTACCCTTCCCAGCCTCTAGTTAGCATCCCTCTACTCTCTATCTCCAGGAGTTCAATTGTTTTGGTTTTGAGTTCAATTGTTTGGGTTCAATTTTGTTTGATTTTCACAAATAAGAACATGTGATGTTTCTCTTTCTATTCCTGGGTTGTTTCTTTCCTTTTTTTTTTTTTTTTTTTTTGAGACAGTGTCTCGCTGTCACTCAGGCTACTGGGGTACAGTGGTGCAGTCTCGGCTCATTGCAGCCTCAACCTCCTGGGCTCAAGCAATCCTCCCACCTCAGCCCCCTGAGTAGCTGGGACTAAAAGGACACACCACCACACCTGGCTAATGTTTTAGATATGGGGTTTCGCCATGTTGCCCAGCTGGTCTCGAACTCCTGGCCTCAAGCAAGTTGAGGCCTGCCTCAGCCTCCCAAAGCTTATTTCACTTAGCATAATGACCTCCAGTTCCATCCTTGTTGCAAAATTTTAGAACATTTTGATCCCCCCCAAAAGAAATTCCAGCCTTTTGAACAGAACCGCCATCTTCCAGTAATTCGCCGAAATGCCGCACCCAAAGGGAAAGAGGGAGAGGCACCTGATATATGTTCTCTAGGCTTTTTAGAAAACATGGAGTTGTTTTCTTTGGCCGCATATATGCGAATCTATAAGGTGATATTGTAGACATCAAGGGAATGGGTACTGTTTCAAAAGGAATGCTCTGCAAGTATTACCATGGCAAAACTGAAAGAGTCTACAGTGTTACCCAGCATACTGTTGGCATTGTTGTAAACACAAGTTAAGGGCAAGATTCTTGCCAAGAGAATTAATGTGCGTATTGAGCACATTAAGCACTCTAAGAGCCAAGATCACTTCCTGAAACGTGTGAAGGAAAATGATCAGAAAAAGAAGGAAACTGGCCGGGCACAGTAGCTCACGTCTGTAATCCCAACACTTTGGGAGGCCGATGCAGGCGGATCACCTGAGGTCAGGAGTTCGAGACCAACCTGGCCAACATGGTGAAACCCCATCGCTACTAAAATACAAAAATTAGCCGAGCCTGGTAGTAGTCACCTGTAATCCCAGCTACTTGGGAGGCTGAGTCAGGAGAATCGCTTGAACCCAGGAGGCAGAAGATGCAGTGAACCAAGATCAGGCCACTGCACTCCAGCCTGGGCAACAGAGCGAGACTCTATCTTGGAAAAAAAAAAAAAAAAAAGAAGGAAGCCAAAGAGAAAGATACCTCGGTCCAACTGAAGCGCAAGCCTGCACCACCCAGAGAAGCACACTTTGTGAGAACCAGTGGGAAGGAGCCTGAACTGTATAAATTCATGGCATAATAGGTGTTAAAAAAATGAAAGACCTCTGGACTGTTAAAAAAAAAAAAAAAAAAAGAAGAAGAAGAAGAAAAAGAAAAAGAAATTCCAAACCCATTGATATAGCTTCTTGTATTAATTTCCTGTTGCTGCTATAAAAAATTACTACAATATTTATGGCTTAAAACAACACAAATTTATTATCTTACAGTTCTGAAGAAAAGAAGTCCAAAATGGGCCTTGCCAGGCCCAGTGTTGGGGCCGGTGTTCTTGCCAGAAGCACCAGGGGAAAATCCACTTCCTGCCTTTTCCAGCCTCTAAGGGCTGCCTGCATTCTTTGGCTCATGGCCCCCTTCCATCTTCAAAGCCAGCAATGGCTGGCCAAGTCTTAGGATCTCTTTCTGATCTGACTTTTGCCTCTTCCCTATATAAGCACCCTTGTGAGTACAATGTGCTCACCTGGATAATCCAAGATAACCTCTTTATTTTAAGGTCACCTGATTAGCAACCTTAATTCCCCCTGGCCACATAACATTCACAGGTTCCGCAGATGAGAACATGGACATCTTCGGGGGGGCCGGTCATTGCTGCCTTTCCTACTCCCTATTCTTCCTGCTCCCCAGTCCTAGGCAACCGCTAATCTACTTTCTGTCTCTAGAGATCTGCTCACCTTTTTTATTCCTCTGCATATTCTGTTTCTTCCTCAAGTTTCATGTTCAGCTTTTTCTCTCCCTCCTTGCTCTTATTGGTCTCTGTGACCTCCATCTTTTTCCTCATTTCTCAGGAAATGATTGACTTCTGAAGACAGAAAATGGAGAAATGCTAGGGAAGACAAGAGAGACAAAGCTTTATAGAACCAAATGCTGAGACAGAGGGAGACAGAAGAGGGGTGCAGTTGTGCAAGGGATGAGCTGCAGATTGCCTGGAAACCAAATCAGCTGGCTAGTGTAGTAAAAACAGCTCTCTCTGTATATTCAATCACTTGGTTTTGGGATGACCCACTTGGTCCTTAAGGGCCTCAGTTACCTCAAACTGGCAAAGGAAAGGGGTTGGACCAGATCAGTGGGTCTCAAGGGGTGGTTCCTGGACCAGCAACATCAGCATCTCCTGGGACCATGTTATAAATGTGAATCTGCCAGCCCCACCCTAGACCTACTGAGTCAGAAACTCTGGGCATGACCCCCACTCCATACCCCCCACAACCAATGTGTGTTTTAACAAGTCCCTCAGATGATTCTGATGTTATGCTAACGTTTGAGAACCACTGGACTAGATTATGATGTCTGAGTTTTCACCAAGTGTAATAGTCTATGAGTAAATTCCTATGCGTGTCAAAAGAAAAATAATTTTTAGCAGGAAGAAGACAGTAAAATGTTGAAAGGGAATATGGTAATTTCAAAGTTTGGAATTTTTAGATACATGTTAGAAGTATTTCTATTTTGTTGAAATTTCCTGTCTGAAATTTTCAGTAGTTCACTTTACTTCAAGTCGTGACCTTCTAGATCCGAACCTTAGAGTTTCTGTATGTGATTTCAAAGAATCTTAGAATGTATATTGCATGACAGGAAATGGAGGTCTGCTGTCTTCCACTGAGACTTGCTGTGTGTGTTCCACACCCACAGGTCTACAACACTGGCCCGAGCACCCTTCCAGGGTCATCTGTCAGCATCTCTTTCCCTAATCGACTCTCATCTGGTGGTGCAGAGATGTTTCATGTCCAGGAAATGGTGGTGAGTTCTCCATTTGTTTTCACTATTGCTTTCAGCTTTGAGCCAGCCCATTCAAATTTTGTATTCCACCCTACCCTGACATGCACCCCGAGGGCTCAGAAAATTTAACTCATTCTATCCTTTGGAGACATAGCTGGAGAGGCCAGGGGACCTATGATACCTGAATTTCTACATTGAGACTGCTTGGCTAATGCCATAAGAAGACCTCTTTGGGGACAGGGAAGGGTTGATTACGAACTATCTCCTGGGATGGACTTTGCTGGCTCTGGGAACCCCCAGCAGCTGTCTGCAGTTGCATGTGTCTGAATGCACTTTGCTGAGTGCATTTTGCACAGGGAAAATGCCTTCAGTCCATGTTGAGAGGCTCGTGAAAGCACTGCTCTCTATAGGGGCACATGGAGGACATTCAGCCAAAGGGACAGTTTCTCCATAGATAGCTTGAAAATCGGGGCAGCAAGGCCCATAGCAGGTGACACATCTGAGCCCAGAGTTGAAGAGGACACAGCCCACAGGGGGGAGGTTCAGAAAATACTGTGTGATGGTGACAATAGTTTCTGGCATTGCTGCCCTCTAGGTCATGTGGGCTGAAAACCAGATGCATGTGAATGTTGAATGTGGAACAGGTCAATCCTCCCGAGATGCCGACTCAGTTGTTAATATCCCTCATGATGTTCCATTCCGGTTCCACAGCATCCCCTTGTCTGTGGGCTCTGCTGACCCAGCAGAAGAAAGCCGCCAGTGTTGTGTACCTATGATGTACTGTGGTTGGAACTTAGCATGAGGTGAACAAACCACACAGGCTCCTGGCTACCCTCTTAAATATTATTAGCCATACTGACTCCACGCCACCGTTTCCCCAGCAGCTAGGAGTGTTCTCTTCCTCAAGCATGCTTTCTGAGTTGTTCACATGAACATCTACAGTGTTGCAGAGAGACTTTTTTTTTCCTATGGGCAAAATCATCTATTGACCAAAACAAGACATTTAAGTCACTCAGATTCTGAAGGTACCCCAAAACCAAGGATACCCCTTTTCTTCTTAACTGATCATCGAGCCAAGGAAAAGTCACTGGAAGGGATTTTGGCTCACACTAACAAATAGCTGACTTGCATGGAAGGCATTAGAAGTGGTTTCCTGAAGACCTGGAGAACTGCCTGGCTGTCGGTCTGGCTGAGTGGACCCTCAGATACCCAAGTGGTGTGAGCTGGCTGCCCTCTGTTCTTTGGGCCTGAGAAACAAATCCTTTGGATTTTCAAAACTATATTTAGAATTTTCATAAAGTCTGTAACAGAATTCCTAGGATGACCAAGTCTCCATCTGGATAGCCCAGCCTGTGATCAAAGGCTGTGGGCATCTTCATGGTATGGAAAAGTAAATTCACTGGCACATCTCACTAAGCAAGTAGGAAAGCTCTCTGTGTTCTTATAAACGATCACCACTGAGTCCAGAATGACAACAAGAGTAGAAACATAAAAGCGAGTGCATGAGGTGCTGTAGTGAAGAGGCAAGAGTCCCCAGATACTTGTTTCAGTATCTGGGGCTGGCACACCCTCTGCCTTCAAGCCCTCAGCAAGGGCCTCCTGTGGCTCCTCCCCTCCCTTGCTCAGCAGGGCCTGAGAATGCTCACTGGGTCAGGTGTGACTCAGAGCTCGTGATGGTTTCCACTTTGGCCTTCTGGGACTTTGAATGGAGCAGGGCTTTCATTCTGGGGATTTGGGTGGCTTGGTGCAAGTGAAATTCAGTCCTATTAGGAGAAACCAGCACTCATTCTCTGTACTGCAGTAGGAGGTGACCCTTTGGCCTGGTGGCATTCCCTCCCCACCCCCACTCTCAGCCACCACCACTCCCCAGCCTCCAACAGGCTACCGAGCAGCTGGGCACCAGCTGGGCATGTTAAGCCGACTGAAGCAGAAACGGATTATAGGCATGGAGGGAAGGCTCATCTGTCATTCCTCTCCACACCCTTGGGACCCTCATATGGTTTCTCCCTCTTGAACAGTGCCCTTGGTGTCTGTATTGCCTGTGATTATCATCCACAGAGCTTACTGAGGGTGGGCTTACTGGCCCTGTGGGCTCTGGGCTCCTACCTATGGACTCACGTGTGGCACAGTTTTCTGACTGTTGGTTCAGAATTCATTTAGAAGTCTCTGGGGCTGCTTCTGGGGTCCCTGGGCAGGACCAACCTGCCTCTAGCTTTCACCAAAGAGTCTTTTGTGTTTGCCCAAAGGATTTCTTGAGGTCCAGCTGTCTGTAAGTGGAGAGTGTCTGGCTTATATATGGGAGGTTTTTATGGGGAGCCTAATGAAGTGTAACCACTCCAAACTCCCAGCCTTGGCTCGTGATCTTCTTTCCTTGTAGCAAATGTCTCTGAGCCCCTCTGCTGTGCTTGTATTTAACTTAAAAACAGAGCCACAGTGGTGGCCTGAGGAAAGACTATCAGTTTCCACTGCTTCCCACCCACTGGGATTGTGTGGACCCTACTCTGACTTCCCACAGCACAGAAAAAAAAGGAAACAGGTCACCGTGGACCTAGTGTCTGTCCATCAGGAAGCCAGATTGTAACGATCATGAAAATAATAGAGGGGAAGAGTGGCAGACCTTTCTAGTCTATCTAAAATAGCAAAATTACCAATAACAAATCATTCTTGATTTGTTCACAAACACTGACTCAGCAAGCACCTATTACATGCCAGGCTCCAAGAAGAGGAATAAGTCCCATGTCTGCCCCAGAATTCACTGTCTTGCAGGAAACAGATACATAAAATACCATTGTAATACCATATAACAAATATAATAATGGACACATGCCCAGGCCCAAGGATGCTACAAAGGTTCAGTGCTTCACAAAGGAAGCTCTTCAAGTCAGGGCTTAGAGGATATGGAGTTCACCAAGAGAACAGGTGGAGAGGAAAACATTCCAGATAGAGGAACAGTCACCATGTGTGAGTGTATGATGAGTATCTGCTGTGTTGGGAGCTACACCTAGTTCTCCATTCTGTTTGCCTAGCTCTTATACAAATATGCAAGAGTAGGTGTTCTGTGTGCCTTCTGCAGATGTGCAGAGATAGATATTTTGGCAGAATGACAGAGAGTACTAAACCACAGTCATTTCCTCTGACAGTCTGTAAATTAATCACTCCTCTTGGGTACATCGTGTGTGTGCTGTAGACCTGAACCTTCCTATCCGCTGACTTAGGCATGGAGAAGGCCAAGCTCCCTGTTTGATACTAGAGTCTAACTATATGTCATGGACATTGTCAGCAAACCACCCTTGGCCTGCTGCAATGACCAGTAGCTATTGACCTCCCTAGCTTACTTTTTTCCTTCTATTGGACAGTCATTCTAAACAACTCACCTGATTTCCAGGAATAAAATAGAGTGAGCCAGACAGCTTGTGGGAGGCAGGCTGTGGCCACTTGCTCCTTAGAGATTTCGTTTTGAAGTGAAGATATATCTTCTTCTCAGTTTTTCAGAACTGACTTGAAAAATTGAACCGCTTCACTTTATTGCCATTCTTCTGCAGAGGCGAGCCATGTAGCATAGCCCCTGAGTGCAGGTCTAAGATTGCATCAAGATAACACATCTGTCACAAACTTCATGGCTCATGAAGGGAAGAGGGTAGTGGTCTTTCCAAAGTTAAGTTTGACTCACAATGCCTGAAGGTTCAAGGGAAGAGATGGGAGCTTTATCTCAGACTGCAAGCTTCACTTGATGGAGCTAAAAACCTGTATCTGTGAGCGGCTTTCTCACACTGGAGGAGACGGCTTGGGGATTTGGCTCTTGTTAATATGCAAAAAGGGAAAAAGTTAGAAATGATAGCTAACAGGGAGTGAAGGGCTAGAACTTTTATTTCAGGTGAAAGTACTGGGTTTTTCAAAGAACTCTAGTGTTAGTCCAGAAGAGATATAAAATAAATGTCATACCATTCTTTCCTCCTCCTGTAAAACCAATTGAAAATATTGGCCTCTCTGGCTTGTTCTGTTCTTGCTATGGGGCAGTGATTCTAAAGAACTGACGTGATTTCCAGGAGGACATAAAATTGTAGGGATGAATGATAATTTTCTAAGGGGTTACATCAATGTCTTTGCCATAGGGTACCATTAGGATATTGATTTCAATATGACATGAATACCAGCATCTGTTAGAATATTCCAGGTCGGTGCCAGGACTCATATTTTAGTAAATTGTAAAATTGTCCCTCCCCATGCACGTGCACTAGACAGGGCTACCCAGGATGTACGATGGGTATCCCACAATGAGTCAGTTGATATGGGAACGTCAATTAATTTATAGTGGGGCTGTTCATATCCCTATGAAGAAAATATGCACCTGATATATCACTGACCATAACAGGAGCTTAAAATTAGACATAAATAGAGGAATGAATTGTTTTCCCCAAGGATGACCTGGAGGAACTTCCTAAGTTGGGGCCATCAAATCAGTCGATATAATCCAAGGCTAAAGAGGGAAGAAAGTACTCCTGAATAACTGACCCTCCCCCAAAAAAATGAATACCATTTATTGCTGTCCCAACACTTTAATAGCCTTTTTCATGTGCTGTCAAATTTAATCCTTATGGCACATCCATAAGGTAAGGTCATTATCCCAAGTTGAGGAACCAAGCCTCAAAGATTTGCCCAACCTGACACAGCTTCTAAAAAATAGAGCTGGGTTTGTAACCAGGTCTGTCTGACTCCAAGGTTCACGTGCTTCCCATTGTGCTGAATTGCACACTGCTCCTGAAAATGCTGCCCACTACCTAATCGCCAGAAGCAGGCTCAGTCAATAGGACAGACAGATGATGAGTAGACCTCCAAGAATCACCCACCAGAGGAGGAGCATCAACCAGGGTAGAGAGGCAGCAACTGCAATCAAAATAACTAATACCAGAGGATGCAGTAACAAGGCCAACAGAAGGCTTCTCAATAAGCAAGACTGATGTCTTCAGAGCAATGCAAAAAGACAGTGTTTCCATGAAACAGAATAAACTGGAGATTTGTAA